TTCAAATGTTATCCATCCCTGATACCAGAATGTGGAACCTAGCATCAAGCTATCTCACCGGACCGAAACACGAAACAAGAAGACCACCACCACTCCATGCTCATTTAGAATGTTCTGACGATGATGATGAGGCTTCTTCATCTGTAGGAAGCAAAGAGGAGAGTCTAGAGTGTCCCATTTGCTGGGAATCATTCAACATTGTCGAAAACGTACCTTACGTGCTCTGGTGCGGCCACACGATGTGCAAAAACTGTATCTTGGGTCTTCAATGGGCTATTGTGAAGCTGCCTACACACCCTGTTCAGCTCCCTCTCTTCATCTCATGCCCTTGGTGCAACAAACTCTCTTTCCGTCTTGTCTTTAAAGGAGCTCTTAGGTTCCCTCACAAGAACTACTTTGTGCTTTGGATGGTTGAGAGGATGAATGGTGAGAGAAGGAGTTCTCCAGGGAGAGATCAAACAGATGCGAACAATGATCAGATAAGAGAGCCTACTCCATGTCTGCATCATCGTCATCAACCTGTTCAGAGGGACAATATACAGACATCACTGAGGAAGTCTCTTGTTTTCTTTGTTCAGTTGACAGCGAAGTTTCCTTTGGTTGTCATGTTCCTGCTGATAATACTCTATGCAATACCGACGTGTGCAGCTATTTTGGTTATGTACATTCTAGTCACTCTCTTGCTGGCTCTACCGTCCTTTCTCATCCTCTATTTCGCGTATCCTTGTCTTGACTGGCTCGTCAGGGAGATTGTCACATGAACTTCTAAGGATGGTTCATCCTCCATGTAGGTATAATGATTTTGGAATCATCTTTGTAGGAAGGTACTTGGTAGTATTGTAATATTTGAGGATCTGCCCTATGGTTGCTTGAGATTTGTCTCAATAATCTTTTGTGTAAAAAGTACTATTACTCTTGTTACCAAAAAAAAGTGCTCGTACCCCTAAGATTTTAGGAGCTATATACTCTTATTTTGTTTTACGTTAATACTAATCTTGATTAGAGAAACGGTAAACTTGCATATCTATTGTTTTCAACTTAAAAAGTTATAATGTTAATGTCATAACCCAAGATTACTACTTAAAATTTGATCACTACACTAATAGTTTTCTTTCTATGTTTTAGGTTTTTTTTTGGTTGAGATTATTAGTTAGTCTTATTGGTGAATCTTTTGCCCCATAATCAATACGGTATTAGGGCTTCAAGACAGGAAAATAATTAAATTCCAATTGAAATGAAATCTTTATTGAAAAACTATTGCTTTTCAACCTTTTTTTTTTTTTTGGCTTTTCAACTTTCTTATCATCTTCTATGTTTTTATGAAGTCAACAACAATATCCATATTATAATTTTTTTGTATGTCTTCACCAAAAATAATGAGACAATGTAGCATGCGCGCGGTTTCATTCATTCATCATCTTCCACATTGGTTTTCTTCTTGCTTTGAGAATCATTAGCAGCCTTGCTTTACTTCTTCGTCTATTTTCTCTTCAGAGGGATCAACTATCTCTTCATCTGAAACAAGCCAATGAATAGTGAGTACACACACACAAACCGGTTCTTAGTGAGAGCAATACCTTCTAAAACCTCTTTCCTTGCATAGACATTATGTAAAGAGCCTAGCCTTTCCTCTACTTTTTCACGAAGTTTCTCGCCAAACTCAGTACCGTTACTATCTGCAATATATAGGATATTATGGTATGTATATAATCTATGCAACATCAACTTACATCAAAATTTTACAAAAGGACACTTCAAACATTTCTTACCACCAAAATAGTCAACCCTAGCAGCAATAGAACACTTGCTAGCTAGACAACGAGCCATACGACCCTTGTTTCTAGCAGATGCTCGGCTAATGAATGAAGAGTGGAATATAAAACCATGCTTTGGTGTTTTTCCACCTGTTCTCAACGCCCTGTAAATTTTATTCACATCATATTTAATAAAAAAAAAACTACACAGAACAGTATAAAAAGGCCATGGTCTTCAAAATTAGTGTTCTAAAAACCGGCATATCCAAAACTGGTTTTCTAGACCGATTTTTGAAGAAATCGGTCTAGACTCGGCGCCTTCCTAATAAAGAAAATCTCATATAAAACGGGCTAGCGATTAATTGAACATTGCTAAAAAATGCACCTGAGAAGTGCCTTCTCGGCTCCAAGAATCTGGAGAGTTGAAGATGGACACTTTGCAAGGTTTCCAAGACTTCCTGCACGTGAAATCAACCTGGCTGCAACCATCTCACCAATCAATGTAGCCAAATTTGGAGCAACATCATTCACTTTAACAACAAGATAGTCATACAACGTCTTTCTGTAATCAGTTAGGCTTATAACTCCCTCAGCAAAGGTCTGGATAGTCATCAAATCAACCGGTCCTTCCTCGCCTTTAAGACACAAACATTGTTTTTTTTTTTTTCGGAACAACCATAACAATTTTTTTTTTCATTGTAATAGATGCAACAACTCTTATTATTACCTATAGATGCTTGTCCAGCTTTAACGACCTCTCTTGCTTTATCTTCATCCCCAAGAACTTCAGTAAGCATTGGAATATGCTCCTCAGACAGTTTTGACTTGTCCTCTATAATCTTTGAAAGTTGAGCATACATGTAACTGTCATTAACTATCTTTTCAAGCTCAGGGAAGTGACATGAGTACCATTCTCTGACAAAACCATTATAAAAAATTACTTAGGACATGATTCACTCCGGTCTTTTAATCGAGGTTCATTTGACATTTTTTGTTTTTCTTAAAAAATATTTTTGGCTTAAAGACAGTTCTTATATATCGTATTTAAGAGTTCTTAGTTTTTTTTAGTTAAACCGAAGCTAACAACCCCAACCAAGACTAAAAATCCCGGTTAAAAGGCTAGGGTTAATCATGGTCTTAGCTTTAACCAATTTTTATAATCTGAGAGGATAAAAAAAGTAAAAAAGAAACAAACCTGACTCTCATAGCAAACGAGTGAATATCTTTATCAACCGTATCAAGCAAGAAAATAGTTTGAATAACCATATAATCCTCTCGAGTAACATTGAAATTGACCTTTTCTCTACGAGCAAATTTAGCTTTTCTAAAACGACCAGGCTACATGAAGAAGATGGTGTTTCAGTAAAAAAAAAAAAACATGAAGAGTCGAAAATAAACAGATGTATTCAATCAGATGATCATCACCTTGAAGTCACTGATGAAACTATCAAAGTGCTGACGAACACCTCTAAGAAGCTCTTGGACGAACTCATTACTCTCACAAGGAATCTTCATGGACTCAAATAAGCAAGAACCGAGTTTTGGGTCAGATACTCCTAAGCTAAACTTAGGCTCTATGTCTTCTTCCACTTTAGGGAAATTTAATTCAAGAAAACTTCTAAGCTCCTCACTCATAAACCCTACACAAGTTAAAACAAAAGTAATGTAGTTTTCTTGCTTTCTTGATTTATACGCAAAAGAAAGATACCTTCAGAGACGGCGTTGACTTGGTTTTGAGCATCGAGAGGAGTCTGCAATGGGTGAAAAGCAGATAGCTTGACGAGCTGACCGAACCGAGTAAGGTCTGAAACTGAGCTTCGAACAGCCTCAACGTCCTGACCGATCTCATCGAGGCCATGCACGTCGAAAAGGGCGTAGCCGGAGGATGATTCGTAGAGAACATACATAGCCATTGAACTGTAGAGAAGATGAGAGAGAGAAGCGTAAACCCTAAATTCTTTGAAAAGAGTCAAATATTTACATGCAAAACCTAACTCTAACCGACTTTGGTCCAAATTTAATTTCATGAGGCTGGCCCACTAACCTCAAATTTACAAATACTGTACTTCTAGCCACGGGTTAGTGTGAAGCCATAGGGTTTGATTTGGGAAACGTGAGAACCACGCAACCTTTCACTTTTAGTTGAACCTTGATCCATTAAGGTCTCAATGGTTAGTTGGTGATAAATGATTCTAAATATAGAGCATTAAACATTACTATAAAGCAGACAAAGACCTCTATACTGCAATTCATATTCATTCTTAGAAATTAGTTTTATAAAAGTAAAAACCAAAAATAAAAACATAAAAACATAATTTTTTTTTAAAAAAAAAAGTCTTAAAAAATGCAAGAGTTTAGTTGTTGTCATGCTTCATATCTTTCTTCTAGCATCTGTGAACATATGGAAGTTGTTTCAGCTCACCTAAAAATCAAAACCATCTTTGATCGATTCACCTCCTGGCATTAGTCGGAAGATATTCCAAACTCATGTCAGACAGTGTGGTAACTAGTATACTCTCTAATAGTAAGTGCTTTCTTCCAGAACCAACCGGATTCAGCCGATAAGGTTTATAAAAAAAAAATATTCAAACCATCTCTGCCTCATATTGAAGATCCCAAGACATTGAACGATATAGATCCCTTACACAGTTAAAGTAGTGATGGTCTTTGTAGCTGACCTCGAGAAAGAATGTTCCAAGACAAAACAAGTTCAAAGCATTCTTTGATACACTCCGAGCATAGACCAAATTTTGAAGAAAAAAAACCGTTTTAGAAAAATTATTTCAATTATAAATCAGTTTACTGTTCAAGTGGACACCTAGGCACTGGCCTTCATCGATTTTTAGAACATTGGATTTCAGCTTCTAAAATTCTCTGATTAGTTGGAATCTTCTACCCCAAAATCAAATGCTATGTTAATGAATTCAACTGGTTGGAGAAGAACTTTGTTATTTGTAATCTTCAAACCTAAACACTAGAAAAATAACCAAATTTCAATCGAAATGAAATCTTCAAAATTTAGAAAACTATTGCTTATTTAATTTTCTTCATTATCTTTTATTTTCTGATAAAAAGTAACGTAATGCAGTCAGCAACAATATCAATATTATATTAGTTCAAAAAAAAAAAAAAACAATATCAATATTGTAATTTGTATGTCTTCATCAAACATAATGACAATGTAGCATGTGCTTTCATTCATTCATTAAATCTTTCTTGCTTTGAAAATCATCAGCTGCTTTGCTTTTATTCTTCGTCTATTTCCTCTTCAGAGGTATCAACTATCTCTTCATCTGAAACAAACGAATAGTCATGAGTATACACATACACATAAAATAAACCAAAACCGCTAAGCTTTAGTTCTCAAAAAAAAAGACCAAGAACATCGAGAGCAATACCATTCTCCTCAAAACCATCCAAAACCTCTTCCAGTATTACATAAGACTCTAGCCTTTCCTCTACTTCTTCACGGAGTTTCTCACCAAAATCTGAACCGCTACTATCTGTAATTTAAGAGATTGTATGTATATATAATCAATGCAACAACAACGTACAGAGAAAAAATCTTACAAAGTGCACTTCAAACATTTCTTACCACCAAAATAGTCAACCCTGGCAGCAATAGAACACTTGTTAGCTAGATAACGAGCAATACGGCCCTTGTTTTTAGCAGATGCTCGGCTAATGAATGAAGAGTCGAATATCAAACCATGCTTTGGTCCGTTTCCACCTGTTCTCAACGCCCTGTAAATTTTATTCATATCATATTTAATAAAAAAAAAACTGCAGCAGAACAGTAGAAAACAAAAGAAAAAAGAAAAAAGAAAATTTCTAAATCGGTCTAGGCGTCCGACTAATCAAAAATCTCATATAAATCGGCCTAACGATTTCTTGAACATTGTTAAAAATGCACCTTAAAAGTGCCTTATCGGCTCCAAGAATCTGGAGTGTTGAAGATGGGTACATTGCAAGATTTCTTAAACTTCCTGCATGTGAAATCAACCTGGCTGCAAATATCACACCAATCAATGCAGCCAAGTTTGGAGCAATGTTGTTCATTTTAACAACAAGATAGTCATATAGCTGCTTTCTGTAATCCATTAGTTCTATAAGTTTCTGAGCAAAGGTCTGGACATTGATCAAATCAACCGGTCCTAAGCCCTGGCCTTTAAGACAAAAAAAAAATGTTGTCTTAGAACAAACACAACAACCATGGTGGTTTTCAAAGTAATAGATACAATAAGTTGATTATTACCCATAGATATTTGTCCAGCCTTGACGACCTCTCTTGCTTTATCTTCATCACCAAGGACTTTAGTAAGCATAGGAACATGCTCTTCAGACAGCTTTGATTTGTCCTCTATAATATTCGAAACTTGAGCATACATGTAATTGTCATCAACTATATTCACAAGCTCAGGGAAGTGCCATGAGTACCATTCTCTGACAAAACCATTATAAAAAAAACTAATTAGCTTAATCAAATATTCCTTAATACTATAGGATAAGAAACAACAACAACAACAACAACAAAACAAACCTTGTGCTCATACCAAAGGTGTTGATTTTTTTATCAACTGTATCAAGCAAGCCAATACTGTGAATAACCATATGATCTTCAAGGCTATCATTGGACTTGACCTTTGCTTTACTGTAGCTTTGAGCTAATCCATGTTGAGCTTTTTCAAGACCATTAGGCTAACATAGAAGAACATGATGTGTCAGTAAGAAACAGTTTACTAATTTCCACTAATAACCCCACCCTAAGAACCTCAGGTTAATTATAGTCTGAAGAATCCAAAATATATAAAAAAAAGATATATTAATCAATCAGATGATCACCTTGAAGTCATTGATGAAACTATCAAAGTGCTGACGAACACCTCTAAGAAGCTCGTGAACAAACTCATTGCTCTGACAATGAATCTTAGTTGCCTCAGATATGCAAGAACCGAGTTTTGGGTCAGAGACTCCTAAGCTAAACTTAGGCTCTTCTCCTTCTTTAACTTTAGGGAGATTTAAATCAAGAAAACTTCTAAGCTCGTCACTCATAAACCCTATAAAAGAGTAAACGTAAGTAATGTAGTTTCCTTTTGATTATGAGCAAAAGAAAGACAAGAATGGTAACCTTCAGATATGGCGTTGACTTGGTTTTGAGCATCGAGGGCAGTTTGCCAAGGGTGAAAAGCAGTTAGCTTAACGATCTGACCAAACCTACTAAAGTCAGAAACTGAGCTTTGAACAGCGTCAGTGTTCTGACCAATCTCACCGAGGCCATGCACATCGAACAAGGCGTAGCCGGAGGATGATTCGTAGAGAACATACATCGCCATTGAACTGTAGAGAAGAGAGAGAGAAGCGTAAACCCTAACTTCTTTGAAAAGACTCAAATATATACATGCAAAAACCTAACCCTAACCGACATTGGTCCAACTTTAATTTCATGAGGTTGGCCCATTAACCTCAAAATTACAAATACTCCTCTAGCCGCCGGTTAAGTGAAGCTCGGTTATCTGTGAAACTTGAGAACCACGCAACCATTTACTATAATTTGAACCTTGATCCATTAAGTTCTCAAGTGAATAATTAAACGATTCTAAACATAGAGCACTGAACATAGCCAAAAAACCAGACAAAGAACTGTTTTGCAATACATTCATTCTTCAAACTTAGTTCTATAACTTTAACCTAAAACCAAAAATAAAACAAAATCTAGAAAAATGGCAAGAGTTCAGTTATTGTTATGCTTCACCATTCTTCTAGCATCTGTGAACTTATGGAAGTTGTTTCAACTCACCTAAAGATCAAAGCATCTCAGATTGAAGACCCAAAGACAGTGAACGATTTAGAGCCTTGGTGGCTGACTTCGAGAAAGAATGTACCAAGACAAACAAGTTCAAAGAATTTTTTGATAAACTTAGAGCATACGCCAAGTATGTTTTCCCAATAGGAAAAAGACTATGATAAGGATATGAAGGCCAAAGCGGGGAGTCTCTTGTAGCTTCTTTAGCTGTTGGAAAGGTAAAGGGAATGAGACTTTATATTGCTTCTCATGAACCATTTTTAGTTACTTACTTCATCATGTGCATAATAGGTAACGGAGGAGAAAGAGGAAGCCATTCAAACCTTTAAGTGGAGGAAGTCTGTGGCTGCTAAGATTATGGGTGAACGCAAGAAAGAAGAGAGTGAAGAGTCCATGAAGCTAACAGCTGAACAACAGTGATTGCTAAAATCACAAACACAATGGTACAAGGCACAGCTACAAACTCTTCTTCTTCAAGTGGAAAAGAAAGTCCAAGCAGCAGTAATGGAGTCTCTTTCAAAGACACTACAGGTTCAGTTTCTAACTCAGGTAGTCCTAGTGGAAGTCCTACGAGCAGTCCATCTGGTTCTGCAGGTCCCACAGGGTCTAGTTTAAGTGGAGCCAGAGCAGCGCCACAACAGTGGCAGAACTAGAGGCTGAGACATCCTAAGAAGTCATGTCATTCATAATGAACCTGGAGTATAAGTGTCAGCGAAAGGAGGAATGAAAGTCCTTCTTCGAGAAACTAAAGGATAGCCTCTGCAAAGGTTACAGCCGAGAAGAAGAAAGGTTTCTTCTCTGGGTTAAGGGGAAAATATCAGATGCCATGTCTTTTATGGGTTCAAGAATTGGAAAGCAAGTCATTAGATGTAACTTAACAAGAAAACTCTCTTTTGAACTCTTATGGATCTATCTTCTTGATGATAGGTAAAGAAGTCCATGGAGAACTACCACCAAAAGAGGTGATGAAGGCTCTGCAAGAGTTAGAAACCATCCACAGCAAAATCATTAGTGCAAACCAAGGCACGAAAGAAGCGTCTGTGATAGTCACAGCTGAACAACGAACAGAGATTAAACAGACAATCACCAAGTGGGAACAAGTTACCACACAGTTCGTGGAGACTGCTATCAAAACCCAGGCTTCTTCGAATACTACAGTTGGTATAGATAGACAAAGTTAAGCCAACTTGAGCTCAAGATTATCATAGCTAGCTAGTAGTTAGAGATTTTTGTTGGTTGTGAATAAAAAACCAAGATTGGTATAGGCTAATCACAGATCTATGGAAGTAATCATTTTGTAGAGGTAAAAGATAGATTGTACCCGCCCTCTATGTAAGCATTTAGAAGTGAATGAAGCAAAAACATGATCCTTGATTGCATTGCATTAACAAAATATGATTGTATTCTACTATATTAAACATAAAGGAAAGAGTTAACGAGGTCTTAGTTCGTGTGTTCATCTTCTACCGCAGCAAAATCAAGGCCAGTGATCTTCATTGGTCCAATGTTAACTGCAAGAGTCACAACAGTCACTTAGATTGTGCTGATGCAACAAAGAAAGAAACCATAAAAAATGTAATGAGATAAAACAAGAAGAAACTGTTGGTTACACTTACTAACAGCATCAAGTCCAGCTAGTTTAGGCATAAACTGTCTGATATGGTCCTCTGCTGCTTGATCAGCCTTCAATGTCTCACACTCAAACGAAACAGATACTTTCTTCTTCCCATGCTTTTCTTCCACTAATCCTATCACATCTTCCTCCCAACTATTCAAGAACAAAGGATAACCTTAACTCAGTCACATATTCCTTAAGCATATAGGACAGTAAAAAAAATTCACACCAAAAAGTTTTAATATTCATCTCATTAGCATGTTGTCTCTGAAAAGCTATGAAGTTTATTACCTTCCCACTCCATATGTAGTATAAAAAAATCACTTAGGTTCTGGCATATAACAGATGCTAGACAAGGAAGACTTACCCATGAGCATGCTCAACATCATTGATCCGAGCAGCATCGTGGCCTTTGCACTCCACTACAACTGTTTGCTCCTTCTTACTCTATTGTTTTTTTTCATGAAATGTTGTCACAGGAAGCTAATCAGGATACAGTGGTTTTGATAAGAGTCAAAGTGATGGAAACTCATACATTGTAGTCAATGATGGTGAGCTTCATCAACCGATAATCCTCACCCCGGCTGCACTCAGTCTCACAAGCCAATTCTTTTGAGAAAGACAAAAAAAAGATAGTTAAATACTAAATCAATTCCTTCTCTATACTCCTAAGCTAATAGAAATATACAACATTGTGTACCATGTCGAAACAATCCTAGTAACAAAAAGCTGTAACTAAATCAAGATTAAGTATTTTAATCTAATTAAAATTGAGGACCAAGCAGATGTTACCAGTGCCATGGAGACCATAACAGATGGAGAGAGGCATGTGAATGAAATGGCCAGAGATGGAACCACATGGGAGTAAAGCTATTGATGCTACTCCTTCCTTCACTTCTCCTTTTTCTTCCTTCTTCTTCTTCTCTATCTCTCCTTCTCTTTCCTCATCTACAATCACAACAATCATGAAAAACTTAAAAGAAACAAAACTGCGAGATGATAGATAAAGTCTGAAACTTTTACCCATTCTTGATAAAGAAACCGATGTCTCTGCTTCTACCCAATGTTCAAAATCTCGCCTTTTTCTCTCTGTTTAGGGGTGATTTCATACTCTAAAACGCCGCGGTTTTGTCTCCACGGGGACAATTTATCCGGAACCGAAACGGAAATTTCATAAATAACCGAAAAGGAAATCTCGTGCAAAACCAATCCGGTTTGGTTCAACCGGTCAATAAAACAAAATGCGTGCCGGTTTCATTGCATGACAAAAACTACGGGACGTTTTCAACCTAACTTCTTTGTCTTCTTTCGCAGTTCACGGGATCGATTTCAGACGCTAAACGCCGGCGCTTTGAATTTCCGAACGATGTCGTTTTCTGTATGGATCGTTTTGTCTGGGCACATTTATCCAAAACGACTTACCGAACCATACTAAACTGTACAAACCGAAAAGCGCAAAACCGAAATTAAACTGCGCAGATCATAGAATTTTAGAATCAGAATTGAAAATGAACGAAAAAACAAATTAACATCCAAATTTTCAAAAAAAAAAAATTATATACCTAAAATTATTAATTTTATTTACTTTGAAATAATTAAAATATCTTTAAATATTGTATTTATTAATTGAAGTATTTAAAAACTCAAATTATCAAATATTTTTAATCCAAGGATAGTATAGATTAAAATATTTGATAATTTGAATAATTTACAATATTCGGAAAATCGAACCGAATTGGACCGAGAGTTTTAGTTCCACACTAAGGTATGCTTCAACCTATGTTCAGCAACTCTGTAATATCGATCAAAACCCATCCGGTTTGGTTCAACCGATCAAACCAATCCGGTTTGGTTCAACCGGTCAATAAGATAAAATGCGTGCCGGCTTGTATTATCTGACAACGACACCGTGACGCTTTGAACCTATCTCCTTTTTGTCTTTTTTTTCTTTCTCAGTTCACGGGATCATCGATCTAGTCAAACTCCATAAGTTAAAACCACCTTAACCATCTACCAATCTCCGCCGTCTACCTCCATGGCCTCCCGCCACCACCACCCCTGCTCACGTCACCACCACAATCATCAAATCCCCACTTCTCCACACTGCTACACATTCAAAGACTCTCCTCCCTGCTGCAACCCTCCTCCACCACAACCAGACAATCTCCTCCACCTCCTCGCTTCCTACCTCCAAACCCACCAACAAGCTCCAAACTTTCCTGTTCCCAACCAAACCTGCTCCTGCAACAGCAAAAACATCCCACAAGAACAAGACCAAGTCATCCTCCTCTCTTGTCTCCTCCGCAAAATCGATAACCTCGAGTCATCTCTCAACAAGTTCGCATCTTTCCACGACCACCAGCGTCGCGACCGCCACTTCTCCACGGTGAGAGACTCTGCGGCGAGAGTTATCCAAACCCATTTCCGATCTTTCCTTGTCCGAAGATCCATCTCCTTCAGACATCTCAAGGAGCTTGCAATGATCAAATCTAGCTTCTTGTCTCTCAAGTCTTCGGTTTCAGGCAAACCCATTTTCAATTTTAAAGTTGTTTCTCGGAAAGCTACTGACTTGCTCCTTCAATTGGATTCAATTCAGGTTTTTTTGACTTTTTTTGTGGATAAAGTTTTGTCCTTTATTTTTAAAAAAAGATGTTTTGATTTAGTATTGTTTGGTTTCTCTGTTTAGGGTAGGGTTGATCCAATGATAAGGAGTAGTAAGAGATCTTTGAGCAGAGATTTGGTGAGGTTTCTGCAGTACGTTGATGATTGTGTTGTTACAAGGTATGAGTTTGTTAGTAGATCTTCTGCAGTGAATGTGGGTAGCTACAGTAAAAAGCCTCAGGGTTTTGAAGAGAGAAGAGTGGTGAAGTTGAGAAACAGAATGGGGAGAGTCTTTGTTGCTTGTGATGATGGGGATGAAGAGTTGGACTCTGCTGCTACTGATGATAGTGAAGAAGTCTTTGTTGATAAGAGAAGGACTGGTAGCTCTAAGTTTAGAACTACTGGGGCCAATGTAGTGAAGCCTCAGGTTAGGAGAACCATGGTAACGTCGAGTGTTGAGGATGATTCAGTTGATAGTGGAGAGGAAGAAAGGGTGGTGGTATGTAGGGATGATGAAAGGAAGAAGCGTGGTTTGAAAGCTAGGAAGATGGTTTTGGTGAAAGGAAGTGGAGGGAAGAGCCGGGTGGTGAAAACTGTGAGGTTTGATGAGAATGGGAATGTGTATAAGGTTTATGGAGATACTCCAGAGGCAAGCATTAGCGGTGAGGGAGAGGATGACTCGACAAGCGGATCAAACGATGGAAATAGGAACGAAGTTGAGGAAATCAAGTATGTGCCTAAGGAAAACGAGGGCTTTGAAGAAGAGGAAGAAGAAGAAGAAACTCAATCTGAAAATGAAGTCTCTTCTTCAGGTGGCAGTGAAGTGGATGCAAGAAGTGCTAGTAACCCGGGAAGTGATGAACACAAGAAGAGGGAGATTCAGGTTCAAAAAGGAAACTTAATGTTCACTCCTCCATTGCCACTAAAGATGGAACCTTGACCAAATGGTTCATGAAAGATCCAAGTTTCTCTTCTTTGGTTTTGTATGGCTTTTAGTCTGTTCTCTGAATCCTATTAAAAAAAGGGTCTGTTCTCTGAACCCAAATAAGGTAACTTCATTTGTTGTAGAAGCTGTAACATAAGCAGATTGTTTAGATTAAGGTTTGGAACATCCTCTTGGGAAGATTTGTGAGAGTTTGTTTTTCTTGGATTGCTGATTATGTTTCTGTCTTTTTTTATTTGTCAATGGAGTTTTTGAGTTGAGGATGATTTTCTTAGTAGATATTCTTTCAGTGTTGGTTTCCTCAGTTGCATGTGGAGATCAACTCAATTAAGAAGTTAAGTTTCTTGCACTGTTTTTGAGTGTATGTTATTATTATAGTATATGCTTCTAGTTCATATAAGTTGTATCAATCAAACCTTGTACTAGCAGTAGAGTATTGTTGTTGGATCTTGACAATGTGATTATAGTCTGTGTGCGGCCGTTCAAAAAAAAAGATTATAGTCTGTGTGCTTGCTTAATAATCTATACTATTATTTAATAAGTAAATTTGCTTAGTTGTCATGTTATCCATAAATTTAGTTAATTTTATTTATTTCTTATATTTTCTAATATTTATATATAATTTATTTATAAAATTGAATTTATATGAATATATCATATTTTTAGAAAATAATATAATTCTTATGTAATATGTTGTTATCTTGAAAATATATTTTTTATTATAAATTTTAAAATTAACATGTAAAAAATCTATACTATTATTTAAAAAAGTGAATTTGATTTTTGCTGATTTGTCATATTTTCCATAATTTTAGGTAATTTTGATAAGTTATCATAATTTCTATATTTTCATATATAATTTATTATATATTTAAGAAAAAATTATATTAATAGTATCAGATTTTTAGAAAATAAGATACTTCTTATATATTAAGTTGATGTCTTAAAAATATATTTTTATATTAGAAATTTAAAATTAAGATATAAAAAAGTTGTAATTATTCTATAATTGAAATAAATTTACACTAATGATATTATACTTTTAGAAAATAAGGTAATTCTTATGTATTATATAATTTAAAAGTAAAATAGAAAAACTATCAATTATTAATTGAATATAAATCATCACTCAAGAAAAAATATTTAAGAAGTGAATTTGCTGATTCATTAAGTTCTCTATGATTTTAGGTAATTTTAACTATATGTCATAATTTCTATAATCTTCTATAATTATTTATAATTAAAAAATATCATATTATATTTTTAGAAAATAAATAAATTATGTAATATATTGTCATCTTGAAAATATATTTTCTATTATAAAATTTAAAATTAAGATATAGAAAATATAATTATAAATTATATAAAATATTTGTAAAAATATTATAATTTAATATAAATCAAGCAAAATAATTATAGAAATATATTCTTTTAAATATTTCTGATGTTGGAGGTTTGTCATTGATTATTATTTGATGTTTGATTTGTACTTTTTGAAAACATAAATAATAACTTATTATGTTAATTTTTAAATTAATAAAATATCAGCTAATAAATATTCATAAGATAAGTATGCCCGCAAGTGCGGGCAAAACACCTAGTATAAGAGTAGTACCCACCCAATCGTTCAATAAACAAGAAATATTAATCACTGAAAGTGGACTAAACTATTGGGTATTTACAAAAGTAGTCCCTAAATTAACGATCAAGACACTTTACACGTGAAGGGTTCACTTTGCTAGTGGACTGACCAAATGTCTTGTCACTTTCTCCAAGAATATATCTCCGATCATCATCTCCGGCCCCACTGTTTTAAAATAACGTGATCTTTCACTTGTCCCCATATCCAATAACACAATGACACGTATCAAGTACCATTCTGAGTACACGCCTCTGTTTTCTCCTGAGAAGTTTGAGTTGCCTAAAGCCTTCTTTGCCACTGCTAAAAATGTTAGGGACGCTCTTATCGTTAACTGGAACGCTACTTATGAGTATTACAACATAGTGAATCCTAAATAGGCTAACTATTTGTCAGTGGAGTTTTCTTTGAGTGNAATTAAGCAACAAGGTTAGTACAAATTCATAAATTGTCTAATGTATTTTTGTTTTATAAAACAAATTTTGTAACTCATCACAATAATTGTATAGTTAAACCTAGAAACTAAAACATTTAATAAAATTTTTTAAAGCATATTATGTAAAATAAATCAATACTTAGCTAACGCTTAAGAGCATCACTATTACATGATCTTACATGGGTTTTTAGAAAAAAGCAGTGATTTATTTAAATGAAAAGTAATTAAAGAGTTAGTAAACGATCCTTAATTCGGTGATTTCGGAACCGATCCATAGTAGAAACGCATTTTACTTCCAAAACCATAAAAACACGTTTTCCGTCCAAAATAACAGAAATGCTTTTTACTGCCAAACCCGCAAAAACACATTTTCCCGCTAAAATCGCAAAAACATATTTTCTCGCCAAAATCGTAAAAACGCATTTCCGCCCTCTTCCCTAAAACCATAAAAACACGTTTTCTCACAAAAACAACAAAAATATGTTTTACCGTCAAACCCGCAAAAACACATTTTCCCGCTAAAATCACAAAAACGCATTTTCCCGCCAAAACCATAAAGACATGTTTTCCCGCCAAACCAACAGAAATGCGTTTTACCGCAAAACCGCAAAAACACGTTTTCCCGCTAAAATCGCAAAGACACATTTCCCACTAAAATCGTAAAAAAAGTATTTTCCCACCAAAATCGTAAAAACGTATTTTCCCGCCAAATTCGCAAAAACGCATTTTCCCGCCAAATTCGCAAAAATGCATTTTCTTGCCAAAATCGTAAAAACGCATTTTCCCACAAAAACAACGAAAACACATTTTCTCGCCAAATCGCAAAAATCCATTTTCCTGCTAAAATCGCAAGAACACATTTTTCTGCCAAAATCGCAAAGACGCATTATGCCCGCCAAAATTGCAAAAACACATTTTCCTGTCAAAATCGCAAAAACCTGTTTTCCTGCTCAAACAAAATAAATGCGTTTTCTCGCTAAATCGTAAAAATACGTTTTTCGTCAAAACTGTAAAAATTATTTTCCACCAAAAACGTTTTTCTCGTCAAAACATATTTTTCCACCAAAACATATTTTCCCACTGAAACAACAAAAACATGTTTCCCGCCAAAACCGTAAACACATAAAATTATATTATTCGCTAAAATCTTATTTTAAAATAATTATATTTAGATAATAATAAAAATTGTCCAACTACATACGTGTTATTTCAAATATTCATTTATGAAAATAATACGTTAATTTATGGATAGTATTGACACTTTAATCAAGCCAAAAATATGAATGGTGAAATGGAAATTCACACCAGGCCTTTTAACTATACAACCATCGTCTACAATTCTTGAAATGCCATATATTATTTATTTCTCATTTAATTAGAGACTTGAAGACGATACCAAAGCACTTATGCCTGCAACCATAAATTAACGTATTACTAGAGATTTGACCCGCACATTTGTGCGGATATATTTTGTATTTTGAAAATATATATTTAACAGCATTTTAAATATATATTTAATTTTTTTTGTTATATTGTGTAATTTTTCAATCTTATTATTTAATTTTTCATTCAACATTATTAATGTATAATATTTTTTCATTTTTTACTTTGTTATTTAACATTATTAATATCTAATGTTTTTATACATGCTAATTTATTTTCGAGTAAGTAAAACAAATTCATAATTTGAAAAATTCATATATAAAATCTCTTTTAGAATATATTTTTAATAAAATTTTATAAGTTACATTCAAAACATTTTTAGATTTTTTTTAGCTATTATAAAATAATATTTATGTAGGCTAATTGATACTTCTATTTTTTGTTTAAAAAGAACTTTAACATATATCATTTTAGAATATTTCAATTTTTATAAATATATTTATTATTTGCTTAACTAATTTAGATATATTATTTTGATAAATTTTATATATAGTAGCATATATGATATTATTTAGTAATTTTTAATAACATAAAAATGTTTTGGATGTTATGGTATTAAGTTCTCTAATTTTTTTTATTAAATTAATATTTCAAAATTAGTAAGATTTTGTTAGAGTTTTTTTCAACTGATATAACTAAAAATAAAATTTAAATCTATTCTTTTTCAGCATATTTGGTGTATATTTTATTGATTAATGTAAATAATCAAATATGTCATATTAATTATTCTATAGTATTTAAGTGAAAAAAATTAAAAATATAAATTTAATTTACCATATTTATCTATTTTTATTTAATTTATAGAGTATTCTGTTTTAATACAATACTAGATTTTGACCCGCGCTTTTAAAGCGCGGGTTTATTTTAACTTTTTTATAAAATTTATTTGAATTGATAAATTTTATTTTAACACAAAAAATAAAAGTTGTTCTACTAATATTAAAATGTTCTATTATATTGTTTTATTTTTACGTATTGTATGTTTTCATATCTGATCGAGACTCATAGTTAAACTGATATATCTGACAATCTTTTGTATAATCCGGTTACTATTATATGAAATTTTATTAATTTAAATTTGATAAAACTGGTAAATATCCAAAAATCCTCTATTAATCCGCAATATAATATCCGTAGATCCCAAAAAAATTATAACATTTTTTAAAAAAATTAGTTAAATAACACATAGTTTTAATATTAAATAAAATTGAATTTTTTTTTGTAATTTCTTAGACTTTAATGAATTTTTTTTCATTTGAAAATATGAAACAATGGTAACAGAAAAAAAATATTCATATAACAATATTTTTTTTTTGTTATTAATAACCTATGATAAGTTTATATTTTCACTTATTTTATATCTAAAAGTAATTTATAAAAAAAAATTGAATGGGCATATCAATTATGACATAATAAATAATAGTTTTAACTTTTTATTGCTAAATGATATTATGCACGAAAATAGGATATTAAAATTAA